CCTTTTTTGACTTGCTCCCATTTCGCATTGTATTCATTTTTATACGTGTCGCAACCATGTTGAAAACTTCTATTAGTGCACATTCACCTTCTGATTTGTATTATGGCTATCGCCATCTGTGCACTAATACCTCAAACTGGGTGCGTCAATTGATCGAATCCAGGTCATCTATCTGCCGAGAATTGTTACTGACCAAACACTCCTTTTAAGCAGCAAACTCGAATCCTGGAAACCCGATCAAATAGATATCACTTAGGCAAAACCGTTGGCGGTCATCAGGCGCCTCGTCTTAAGGATGCAACGTGCACAACGTCCATTGGAGATCCGACAGAGTCGTGATCCTTTGAAACAACAAAGGATCTCATTTGCTAGCTGTCATCCAATATGTCTTCTGCACCCCACCATAAAAGTGCGTACACCGCCTTAGATGTGACCAGAAGTTCCTTTTGACAACCGTTACTCACGGGTCATAGGGTGTTATACTGCGTTTGCGCTGGAATGTTTCAGGAATACACCAACCATGTAGGCTGTGTTGAGTGGGGGAACGAGTACTAGTATGTTGAACGTGCTTAGTAAGTAGTCAAACGGGGCTATTGGTCTTTGGTCCAGAAACCACAAAAAGTGCCCAGAATTGGTGGATCACTACTCGTTGGACTACAGATGTCTGCGTGGGTGTCTACATAAAACCTGCCCACTTTCAAAAAGCTATTTAGCTGCATCATTCCTCGACTTTCACTCTAACGAAAACAGGCGGTGATAAGAAGTAATATTTTTAAAGCTACAAGCGCGCAATTTCTTTCGGTAGCACTTTATCCCGCTGCAAGTAGTAAGCGCGCTAAGCTCATACACCAGAGTAGTTTTATTGCTAATCCTGAACGGCAGCTCTGAGCTCTCTGTGATGCTCGCTTTCACGGCTCTTGTAGTTGGCATTGCCTTCGTTTAAGGCTGCAGAAATCATCATCATCAACTGTAATAACCGCGTACTCGTCGTACAGTGGTTGTAGCTGCCGCAGTTTCGTTCACCGATGATCTGGGTGGGTGAGGGTTGGTAGCTGCGCATTGCAGGGGGGAGCTGATAAATTGGTGCATAAATTCAGTATTGTCAGTGGGTTGTCAAGTGAGGGGGGGTTGGAAAAGGAGCTATGCATTGGAGGCAATAGCTCTGATACAGGAGCGCCATTGAGAGCGCAACTGGGCCATGTCTGACAATGTCTCTAGCCATTGATGTGGCCCGTCTCGGGGTCCCCATCCAGGAAGACGGTAATGACCAGCGCAGCTGAGTTTGCTGGTAATGGCTTTCATACTTCGCTGCAGAAATGAGGGATGATGACGTATTCGAAATTAAGGTGAAGCGCAGCAAGCCTGAAAAATGAAAATCACTGATCCCTTTAACATGAAAGGCCGAGGATTCGTGCAACGAACACCGAGTTATTGAATCACAGAACCTGTAGGCCTCAAAGCCAACAGCATAGACGGTTGTTTTTTTGTATACATAGGTCAGCCTCAGGAACCAGGGATTGATTGAATCACCTATGTCCTAGAGTGGTGTTGGGCATGCATATTCACATAGGTCAAGCCGGTCCCCGCTGACTAACCACCACAATGGTTAGTTATCATCCTACACGTCACCGGATGTGCAGAGTGAGAAACCACCAAGCTGTGTTATTCACGTTTTATGCACTAAAAGACTCCAGCGACGGTTAGTCCCCCCCCCCCCCCGAAATCACAACATCCAGGAAGACTTCTTGACTACTGTTCCACATTTGTGCTACACATTTGGAATCGGCTCCCTGAGTGTGCAAACTCTGTGAAGCCTATCTGTTCCTTCAGGATACCAACAACGGTCCTAATCTTTAGGAAAATACATAATAATAAAGCGCTAAAATAGGACACCTAATTATCCGTCGCTGTTGTCTTCGTTCTCATTTGACCAACTCGGATATTCGCACATCACGCGAGTTACGGAAACCATATATCCAAATTTTCCGGTATAACCACATCCACCTTAAACCCAGACCCATACCTACGAACGACTTATTTGTTTTTGCCGTATGTTTCCTACTAGTCCCCCCATAGCCACCATCGCAAACGATTGGGGACACATTTTATTTATGTGCCCGGGAAACGAAGCTGTGACATCCCGAATGTACACTGCGACACATTTTATTTATGTGCCCGGAAACGAAGCTGTGGCGTTTCGAATGTGCACTGAACCTAGTGAGCTGTAGAACTTCGCTCCAGTTGTTCTATAGGTTTGACACAGCTAGCGAGCATACCGTCCCTCAGAACATGATAGAGAGGGTACCCCAGAATAATATTCCTCCCCCCAATCGAAAACTACAATTATACCTTGAAGTTGAAGTCGACCACACGAACCACGGACGCAATACTACAAATTCGGTGTCCCTAGCGGGTTAAAACAATCCCCGCAACACTAATATTTCCAATTGAGATTAAAGTCCAGTTAGATCTAACCATCAACCAGTACTGCGTCAAGTACGGAGTACATTGCTGAAATCTGCCACTCACCTCCGTATAATACATCCCACGAACCGTACTACAACTTTACTTCACGTTGAAAACTTGTGGTTGACCAAAAACGCTTGTGCGGAAATCATTCACACAGTGCACAAAATCTACGCCCAAGAGCAGATTCGGTATTCCTGTACCAGCGACTCTCTCCCAGGATGGTAGCCGGGGGATATACTGGTTTCAGGTAAAGACATACTTGTCCAGTGAAACGGCGCATCGACGAATTTCCTGCTCGTTTAGTTGTCAATTGGGGCGCTGTTCTTGGTCAGGGCCCGCAACCACACTGACTAGTAAGCCACCTATTGTCAGATTAACAGCAGTGATTCAGCGTAGCCGTAGTGAATTCATTTGTGTAAAGTATGGCTCTGAACTAATCGTGCTTTCGAGAGTCCGCGATGGCGCGCGCTTCGGCCGTGACATTTGCTCTGAATTTTGAAGGCAAACCGGACGTTTTTGACATGAATCTCTCGCAGATGGGACTGTTACATTTCTGCTATTCGGTTCTGACGGCATCGGTGCTGTTTTTTTTGCGCCGTCAGTTAATGTGAACTAGTGGGATAGGGAACGTACTCAACGCTCTGCAACTATCCACCTAGTTGGGGGATGAGGCGAACGAAGAATAGCTGGCCGGTTTATTGTGGAGTAAAATGTTGGTAGCTCAGATTGTTGTTTCCTGAACTGGGCAACTGTTTGCAAACGTGAGGCGAACGAAGAATAGCTGGCCGGTTTATTGTGGAGTAAAATGTTGGTAGCTCAGATTGTTGTTTCCTGAACTGGGCAACTGGTTTGCAAACGTTTCGTCACCAAGCGAGTTGACATCATTGGTGCCTAGGGAATTGGTGTGCAGGTTTAGAACGCGCTTACACGGCTCACGGCAGCTATAACCAGATATCAGTACCGTTGTTCGAGTGATGCAGAAAATTTCACTGAGTTACCTCAATCGAATGAGCAGACTTTGTTTGGAAGATAGAACTTATTCCTTCATCGACCATTATTAGTGGGAAAAACGAAATTTTATTGACCTGATGTACTGTACCAGGTGGTTTCCCGTGGTTGGCTGGAATGAATCAAGTGGTATTTGCGATTGTTATGAGGCTCAGTTGGGATCGATCTAATCTGTCCTTCACGAAATATGTAGTATCGGGGAATTTCCACTATATCCAGATATTCTCACCAGTGTATTCAGAGTGCCAAGAAGTTTCTCAAGTGCTTCTTGAAGGGTACGACTGCGCTTGTGTACAAACGAATCACTTTGCGGAAAATTTCATGGCTGCAACGAGGATTTCATACATCCCTCTCTCTCGAGCTCAGACGTAGACTCAACCTCCGAAAACAGCTTTACTGAAAGTGATTTAAAACAGAATTATTGATTCCCTGTGTTACGAAATGGCGAAGACAAAGACCCCATAACGCTCGTACACGGCAGATAACTCCCGCTTCCAAAAATAACTGTTCCGACTAACCAAATACATGAACTGTCAGTGTCACCAACAGTGACGCTATGATATATCACAACATCAGCAGCTAGCTGGGAAACGTGATAAAGTCTAACAACAAGAGATTATGTTACAACCACTGTATCGCAGTCAGATTACCCGTTCGTCGCGTTCCGGTAGACGGAATCGTCAAGCCAAACCAGGACGGTTCAAACGCCATTCACTGCACCATTCTGGCACCTACCAGCATTCCCTTTAGACTATCATCCTTTCGCTATTCGGAACTACAAGTCCACATCCATTTAGAGGTGTTTTGGTAGTTGGTTTCCAAACAGTTCTTTCGAATGCTTAAGTTGGAAGATGCGAACTAGAGGCGAGGAACGCTTCGCCAAACTGGCGGTAGTGGCTAAAACGCAGCAAGATACCCCAGTGTAACACAGTCAATACCATAGATGTCAACAGACACACTCGAGCAGTGACGAGTAACCTTAGAAACCAGACTCAATGCGGTTAGTATCTTTCACAGAATGAGCACGCTAGATTGGAATTCGATACGAATGATATGCGGAGCAAACAAGCAGTGAGAACTACTGAAAGTGATGACACCTAAACAACCAGTCAAATACACGAATCTGTGTAGCAAAACGTTACACAGGTCCAACATAAACCAACAAGAGGAAGCCGGGCTTCCCCTAACCAATTACGTTAGATATTCTCAACTGAACTATACAAACGAAAGCATGGACGAAGAAACCAGCTCAACGGAACACGGACTGTCTCCACTAAGACCAAACCGATGGACAAGTGAAGCTTGAGGACCGAAATTGGATGTCCGAATCATCGCTTACAGCCGGCTGTAGTGTTTACCCGTAAATTTCGCATCGTTTCTGGGTGTCACGATGAAGGATTGAAAGTCGTTCAATCGACGGCATACAGTACTGTTTGAGTCCCATCTTTAGCTTCACCGGATTGGTTACAACCCGCATTGGAGGGCAGAGAACTTCAACTACATATCATTCCGCGTGGAAGACATCACCCAAAGCATGGGCAAGTCAGCTTCAATAGACGACGACCAACAGGGGGTTGGAACGGTGACCAGAAATGAAGCACAGATACCCGAAACCCATGGTACCAACGCTTTGTGAAGCAACTCTGTAACATTTCCACTCTATTTGACAAGCTGTACCTACCAAAAGCGAATTGCCTTTACGTTCGTTTCCCTGAGAGATCGGTCTGTTGTTTTGATTAGTGTGTTTATTGACAGTCTGATAGAGGACTAGTGATAATTGAGATACCACGTGCCCAAACCCTCGGTTATCAGGGTAACACTGGAGCTTAATTGATTGACAGCCATGAGGAATTCTCCAATTAAGGATGAAAAGGAGTTACGGTAGGCCTTTAGTGCGAAAAAAAGTCCCAGAGAACGCAGTCAGAAACAGGTTGAAGTAAACATGAAAGCGGATCGTGTCTGAGTACAGCGTTATCGGGGTGGAAACCGGGTGTCATTTTTGGATCTCATAATGCGGTTTGAGCAACCAACGACAGATAAGGCTAAGCGAGGATGTTCACTTGAGAGTCCGGAGGAAACAGTGGTTGGGCCCAGGTAGAACGTGGGGTAATCCCTGACAAGTTCCGATGTGGGTATGCTATCCCAAAATACTTGCAGCGCGGTTATGACGAAATTTGGACTGTACCGCACGTCTCAATCGGTCATATACGGGTGTTCACTCTGGTCATAGTGAAAAGTAAGTAACTCAGCCTGACAAAGGCTGTTGCAAAGCCCCCCGTTTCACGGGACAACACCCGTGTGTGTGTGAGACATTTTGGCCGCCTAGGGTTGCTGGGCTAACCCCATCATATTTTATTTGGCAGGGGCTTTATGCAATTAGTAAAAAATTCACTCTTACCAGCAAAAAAAGTTCGCCTATCCGCGTACGTCAAAACGCAATGCTCACTAATACTAGTACGGGCCCACATCCTCTCAATTCCGTACGATGGATTGAATTGCACAGCGAAAAACAGGGACACCTGGTCTACACCGTGAGAAGATTGAAAGATTAAGACAACGCCGAGGGTCAGAAGGATAAGCCATGCTGTATTCGTGAAGTAAGGGAATAAAATTAGAAAAGACAGGACAATAGGGAAAGCAGTTGGTAACTAACTGCTCAAACAGGTTGATCATAAAGCCGCAGATAAGACATTTCTCCGCGAGACCGATAGCTGTCCCGCGTCGCATCCCACAGGATCAAATGGAAGATTTTATGCAACGATCCGTGTGGAAGGCTGAAGGCATCTGGACTAGGCGGTAGTGCGAACGAGAGGGGTGGATTGCATCTGCCGACTCCTGAAGAAGAATTGCCCATCAATGATTCCAAGACGCAGACATAAAACACCGCGACAGTTGACTGCGTTCCACGCATCCAGGATGGGAAAGAACCGAAAGTCTGTGCCAGTCATTGAATAACGGTGGCAACCTTGTGAACAGAAATTTTCGCACTAAAAGAGCCCGTACAGATGAACGAGCAGCCAGCATCATTCGAGCTGTATCAGAGAAACTCCCGACCCGGATCTTATGCGACGCGGCTGGTAGGATGGAATTCAACAACGGAAGACGGCTCAACATGCAGAGGGACTATGTACAGAGCGACAGACGGCTAAGCTGTCTGTCGGAGATCGAAAAACGTAAGCAACACGCTGTATCAGATTCTTGTGGAAAAGGATGTAGAAGAGTATATGAGGTGGTTTGATAAGTGTATGTTGGCGGGGGGAGGGATGCGGCGCAATATACTTCTTTAGGACAGTCGAAAAGAACAAGGACGTGTGCTTCGTACACGACGAACCGCGTGGATTGAAAAACTGGGGTAGAAAAATAGCACAGTGCACAGGAAACGAGCTGGAAAGGGGTAGAATAGATATGAACAGAAAAGGCAACGCTGCTTGCAGTCTGTCTCGGGGCGAGAATACAACAAAAATTTGTCGGCCACTAGGCACCGTCATCACGCGAAACAGAGAACCTACCGCTCCACCGATGCGTAACGAACATGAAGCGAATTACGATGTTTGATGCAACAAAAGGCAGGTAGGTATGCGTGTGAGCAGCAGTCACACTTGACCGGACAGTTACGGAGAAGGCCAGGGAGAGAGAGAGACGGCAAAGGTGAGCGCGCTGGAAGAACATGAAGCGAATTACGATGTTTGATGCAACAAAAGGCAGGTAGGTATGCGTGTGAGCAGCAGTCACACTTGACCGGACAGTTACGGAGGAGGCCAGGGAGAGAGAGAGACGGCAAAGGTGAGCGCAGGCGCTGGAAGATGATATAGACCAATCTGAGGAGAAATGCACGTCAAACCGGTTTGGAAAGTTTACTGATCACGCGAATAAGTGCGCCATTTTCCTCTTTCATTTTGGCGTTCTCTTCTCGCAACCGATTTAGTTCCTGAGAGGAAAAAGAACGAGGAGAAAGCCAAACGATAAATCTATTCATCTGTCGAAGCTGATTTACTGGAACGCAGTACGAAGCTCATCAATCGGATGCCCTTCCTTAATAAAGTTGTCTCGTTTCCATGAACACTTCTCGCACAGATAAGGCGGTCATTGTGATCTTGTAAAACTCTAGTGGTTAGAGCGCGAATTTACTGACCGGAAGGTCCGTGGTTCAAACACGACCTCTGCCTCTCAACTTCCCCTGTCTAGGCTTGGACAACCTGGCAGTATCCCAGACCTCATGCTTCCTTCGGGTAGCATGGCAGCTAGGCACCGGAAGGGTGTTACAGCTGAGCGATTTTTTCTGTCGCGTTCACTAGAGCGAATTACGCCTTAACCGCTCTTGACATGGAGTTTGTTGGCTTCCCTGATATGCGCACGAAGCCATACACAAAGCGAATCTCCGGTAAATTCAACGCGAGAGATGAAGTTTTGTGGACATATACCAGCCAAACGGTTGTGTGTGAATACTCATACGTTTCTCTGCTGTCATGCAAATTGTAGTATTTGAGTTCCACTGGTATTCCAAGGCTGGACAAGCTACGATGAGGTTTCTTAATGTCTACGTTAAGTTGGTTAGGCTGAGATGTCTCAGAATGAAATTTCGCAATTTCCCACAGCTGCGTCGTTCGGTTAAATCGAGTAGAACTGTATGGGTTTCGTGTAAACGTTTGTTCGCGATGGTCCCCTTGGATAAGATCATTGTGCACCGGTTCTGAAACAATTTCAGACAGGAGACTGCTTGCAGGGACAAAAAAAACAGGGTCCAACGACTTCGTAACTAGAGTCCAGTTCAGGTAGAATGCTTAAGTATACTTTGAGTCACGTGAAAATCCGAAACGTTAACTTTTAGGCGTGCGTCACAAGTTGTTGGTCCGAAGACGTAGAGTTTCACTGAAAAGTACCAATTTTTGGAATAGACGAGACGCTCAAAACGCCGTCGTCTTGCCATGAGATAAACATGGTACCCGGTAAACTATCACATTTACTCAAGCCAACGAAAATAGACGAGTGCGCATGTGTAAACTGAACATATTTTTGCACTGATATGAGATCGTATTGGAAGGTATGTCACAAAGAGTAGAGTGCCCCACAGCAGGGACGGTCCGTGGGAATCAGTCGAGGCAGATCACCTGGGGGAGGGTCTCGAATAGAGAGTGATCCGCCGGCTTTACTCAAGAAACAAACAACAGACGTCACCTTTTGCAGGCTATTAAGAATCGTATTCGACACTGCTTGCAAAGATTTGGTAGTCTCTTGTCATCGTAAGCGACATTTCTCAAGGTGAATTCCACAGAGAACGTGAACTCCACTCTTTAAAAAGAAGGGATTACTTCCAATTAGTTAGCCAGGCAAGACGAGGAAGGCTCTCTGTATGGGTTGAACAGCGATTCGTTACTGGTGTTGAGTTATAGCACGGGCATTCTGAAAGGTTGTGTGGTTCAACCGGGGCCTAATCATAATGTACGTCCTTCCCATCGTCTGGCTGTTTTATTCATTTATTTGAAAAATTTCTCAGGGCGTTCCTCTGGGTTGAAGGATAAATAGTTCGCCTGTAAGCGACATTTTCATGAGGTAGAAAACGGTAGACTATCTTCGGTAAAGTTGCGGTCGTGGATGGCACCCCGACGCTGTAATGTGTTCTCCTAAGCGGAATAACGAGTCGTTGAGTCCGCACTTACTAAATTTGCAACCATAAACAAAACCTACGGGAGCACACCTGTTTGTTGCATCAAGACTGCCAAGTCTATGAACAACCACCCGCAATGTGCGACGGAAACAATCAATATTGCTAAATTAAGTGCCTAAAAGCGCCGAGCTCCGAACGGAAGCAGTCGCCATACTAAATAGCGCAGGCGTTCCTTGATTTTCAAAAGAAGTGGATTTTGTCAGGGGATCAGTTAAAAAATCCTTGGTTCCCTTAGAAGTTTTTCACGTTTCCGATGGTGAAGTTCGCTGAACGGGGAATAAGTGGTCTACACATCGTATCATACATGCACAACAGTACCATAAATCACGACCAATGTGAAGAAACGTTGAACTTCATTAGATGGTTCACGAAGCTACCGAAGGCCCGACTAATAAACAAAATAACTGAGCCAGGTGTAATAGGCTGTGAACAAGGCAACGAGAATGAATAAGTATGAAAGTTCAGTCGTGACAATGGATTGTAAAATGAGATTTATACATAGACAAAAGGAGTACAGGATATTGTGATCTACTCAATCGGTGCAACATGTAGCCTAGTTAACTGTGCGAAAACTGCCCGTAGTTTGATATACACGAGTTGTGGGGTCAGTTGAGACAATGCAGTGATTCTCTGTTGTGAGACTACTCATACCAAGAGTCGAGTCCATAGGATAAACGATAATCAGCTGACTGGGATCCCCAACTTGTAGAACACCCTGTTGGACCAAAAAACAACAACTAGTGCACCAAGTGAAAAAGAGAAGAACGGAAAAGTGGTAACAAGACGAGCGCGTGCCCACAAAACATGCACATAGACATCATCAGTGGAAAGCAAAATGCATCGGTGCACCGAGTCAATCCCATTACGACGAGGTTTGGTGGCAAACAGACATAGATTCGCTCACAAATCAAGATCTATCGACAACAGTGACGACGAGTAGCATTCACCAGAAGCATTAAAACCGATGGTTAGAAACCAAGCAACTGTTTTTGCTGGAAAAAAATCTCAAACGTCAACACCGAAGTCGGTCTGGTCAAGTCATCCTTGTGAAATGTGCGAAAAAGCGGTGACAATGATACGGGAGGAACAACAACAGGCGGATGGGTGACATGGATCAGAGGAGGGAGGGACTCACCTTGAGCTGGTCCTCATGATATAGCAGGCGATTATGGAGCTGAGTGCGGTTGCAATGGGAAAAGGGCTAATGATCAGCAAGCGTTTGTTTGTTTTACGAATGAAAACATGGGTAGGTATTTTTTGATCGGAGGTTGTTGGAGACGGATAGTGGTCGAATGAGCGATCCAGAGCAAAAAGGAGAAAGCAAAGACTAGAGAGTGGTCGTCGAAATTAAGCAACGAACGGAAAAGAGTATTATATGTAAGTGTGTGCATGGGTTGTGAAGGATAGTTGGATTCAAGGTGGGTTGGTTTGTTGGTGAATTCGCACGAGTGCACACACACGCACACACACACACACACACACAAGATGGAATAAATATGTGAAGTAATCGGATGAATGGCAGTTAAACGTGCACACAGATATAGTGGAAACGAGAAACAAACAGGAAGAGATATACAGAGGGGAATGAGCTCACATCTTGGCTAATTGTTGTTTACCCATCACAAACCAACAAACAAACACATCTATCTTAACCAAGGTATCTTTAGAGCGACCTAACGAGGGTGAAGATCATGCCAGCAGAAAGGTAGTTAGATGTGCAGTCAAGCTGGCGGGAATATTAAGTGTTGTACTGTTTCATAAGCTTCATGGATGAAGCTAATCCACCAAACAACGGAACTTCTGGCCCAAAATAATCATAAATGGTTTACTAAAAGAGGTGACAGCAGAGAAATCCGCTTTTGACCCCGGTGTCACAAGGAACCACCTAGCTACTATCGATTCAAGACGCGTGGGACTTATCAGTAGTTGACCATCACACTCCCCCACAAAGCGAATAGTAATACGATGGTAAATAGACGCATATTTCACAACGGACCGAAATATAACTAGGTGCGGACCGTTTTCGTTCGTCAATCCATCTTTTCAGGATAAACGACTGCGGCACTGAGTGCTGTCCGCAAAACTTCGGCAAGTATTACTGAACGAAACTGGTGGATGTCGATCAGGAAGCTGGAGTTCAGCGTGTCGCATTCAATGGTGACTTGGTACCCGGAAGCAGACTGGCTTGCGTTCGCCCCTGCAGCATCTATGCTTTTTCCCTCATTTTCATACTGAGCAATTTACGCCTCTTTCGCATCCACCTGACTTTCTAGAAATGTGGTTGAGGGTCGAAAATGATGAACACTTGTTTGAGCCCAGAAATCCAAAAGGCCTGAAAGAGATCAGTTGTTATCGGTAATCACACGAAGATCCGATTCAGGTTCAATAGAGGGAAGGTGATAGGCCACCATTTCAGTTCTCAATTTAACACTCAGACAAAATGAGAGCCGCACAGGAGTTTGTGATCATCGACGCTCTGTGTGACTCACAGAACAGACCTGAGGAAGCATTCTCCAAAACTGCTTTGAATGGGGCATATAAACCTTAAAGTAGACAAAATCAAAATGATGACGGTCTTCCAGAAAGTGCAACTACTAGCAATGCTGCAAAGTAACGGGGAGATGCAATCGTTGCTGGTCTATTGGCCGTGGTTTTGTAAATGTTTCATCACCATTCAAAGAGGCACAGCCAGCGCTTGCGTCCATATGATTGGCTGAAGATAACTTATGTTTCTAACGTGATTGGCTGACGGTAAACTCGATGAAACCTGGTTGTTCAGTGGTTCCTTTGGACCTTAGTTGCGTGGACTGTCGTGTATATCATCGGTTAATGGGGCAAACATGTTTCCAAATATTTCACCGCCGTTTCGGTAAGTCCCTCTACCAATCGACCTTTCGTCTACCATTGGGAAAATGTTGGAAACGAAAGAGAAAAACCTCTAACTCGGCCATATTCCACATGGATATTGTGATCAAACTTATCATATCATATCAAACTTATCGTAAGTCGAATACGAATAGACTATTTTGGAAGGCCCTTCGTCTCTGAAAATGTCAAATGTTCTGAAGCCTTCAACATGGCCTTAATAGTTCTGGCAAGATTGAGGACAGTTCCCATAGAACTGATCCGCGGTTGAATGCTTTAGAAACCCGAATAGTTGTTGACAACCATCAAACACAGTCAAATTACTGTGAGAATTCGAAACAGTATGTACAATATGCCAAATCTATACGGTTTATTCGGCATACGGGTGCTGAAACGGCAGCGCAACTTCATCAAAACGACCGCATGGAAATTGGACAGATGAAAAGCCTGGAAGTTGACTGAAAAAATTCCAATACCGCAAAGAAGGGGACAAAACGAATTGGCAATTCGGAAAAACGATCACCATGCGGAACATTTGTAAACCTAAATATTCACTTGAAAAAAAGACGGACAGAGCGACGCTTCTCGCGAAACTCGTGTGTGTGCCTCGTGGTTAGACAAATGTCAGTGATTCGTCGGCTAACGGTCACAAGGGGTCAGCGACACTACTCTTACACTGCGTACACCAGTAGCGAGTTTCTTCAACCCAGAAAGAATTTGGAAACATCTTTTTCGGGTATACGACCGACCTTTTGGTTCGGAGTTCCAGTGTTCAAGTGAACTCACAAAGACAATTCCAAAGTAAGTGAGGTGTCCAAACCGCCAGTCCAAAAGCTAGACATTTCGAAATATGCCGTAGGTAGGCATCCACCGCACCTGCGACACTACCTTAGGCCAGGCAGGTAGGCAAGCCAGCCGTCGTATTGGTTGATGAGTATGCTCGCCTCTGCAGGACCAGTGCTGCATCGAGACGTTGTCACCCTTACATTGCCTCGTTAGATTTCATCGCCTTTCACCCAGTCCATGGCCAGTAACTGCATGACATAACGATGAGGATGCAGAACAAAAGCCTCTCAATAGGTTGAAATGAGTGTACGAGTAGAACTACACTTTAGAACTCATTCAAAAACAAGCAATTAGCTTCAGGCAGAAAAATGCAGGTTTGACCGGTGCCCTCGAGATCAGTTTAGGAGTACAAGTGTTAACCTCCTCTGACCATCGCCTATTTTTATTAGTCTGTTTGGAATATCTGGGCAAGGAAGTACGACTAGTTCTATAAGCTGCTCCCGAAAAAGCCAACCCCGTCTGAAGGCGTTCACCCACTATCCTGTTTCCCTAGTTAAGTTGGTGGTCAAAGCTCATCAGGTACTCCACTGATCCAAAGAGGGTTTCGAAGAGAGGAAGAGGTAGAGCACCGAGCGGAAATCACGTTACAGAGTTAGACACTGTTCGAGGAAACAGAACAGTAGACTTCTGTCCAACCAAGTGTGAGGGTCAACTAACACGACTGCCGTTTCATGGCTATAGGAGGGTGAGTGCAATGTCATGTGCTGGCGTGTGTAATCAATCCAAACGCATGCATGCACGCATTCACACACACACACACACGGCAACAATCGACTTTCTGGTGGAAATCACCGTCAATAATATTAGGAAAGCCAAAACAAAAACAAGAAAGACTAGGTGAACCGGTGTGCCGGTCACGATCACGTTGCTGGTAGATTACGTTTCGGGGCTTGGCCACTGATCCGGAAACGTCGCACACCGGAGACGCGGCGAAACTGCCGCAGAAAAAAAAAACAAGGGAGCCATCGAAAGGAGAGAATAAGACTGAAGCACAGTGAATTTTAGCGTGTAATCGGGGAACTCATGATCGACTAGTTGGCTGTGAGTGTGTACTTGTCGAGGGGATGGAATTGACTCCATCACATGGACAACAGCGTCATAACATTTTAACACTACCGACAACACTTGGGACATGTCAAACTTCAAGTGTCCTGAAAACAAACGGTTTCACGGAGCTAAATCAATTCAGTATCCAGCCGAACTTCAAGGAATTGGGCGAAAGATTTTGAAATCTTTGTCAGGGTGGGCGTTGACACTGTCAAGAGTGAGTGTAAATGCCATTCAGCAACTGCGATCCAGAACATTTAGGCTTACACAAAACTGAAAAGCCTACGTAGAGATCATGCTGTCGATTGTCGAGCGTGGCCAGTAGGTCACACATGTAGATAGGAGGCAGTCAAAGTATGGATGTAGGAAATGATGGCCTTGCCAGGGAGAAGGGAGAAAACCGTTAATCAGCGAACACAATCAACCGTAACGCTGCATATACGAAGACAATCTTCAAGTGAATTCACTACCATGAATGAACTGTGTGAACTATACACAATTAGGCTACAAGCTCTCGAAACCTCAGCTTAGTAGCATGCAGGCAGGCAAAGAAACTATTCGGATGCCGATCTGGTTGGAACAGAAGAAACCCCAGGGAAACGCGAGGCAGAAGAGTTGGAAATGTGACCACAGGACGAGTAAGAAGTGGGAACACAGCCAAATAATTGGATGAAACACAAGCGATTGAGGCCGGAGTGAGCAGAATCGTTCACCAAATACCACATCGACCGGACAAATATATGACGAAATGACTACGGAGAATGTACACTATGGGTGGTCTGAACATGAATCAACTGGGATCAAACGTACCTAGCCCAGCGTTTCACGCGCTCAATCAGCGTGACCATTATCTGGCATGCGATGTGGAGTGTGTTAGGCGGGACCATGCATCCCGCTGGCGGTTGGACGCCGCTACCACCAAAAAACCTAACCACACGTGTATAGATTGATCCCAGCAATCTGTTGAACCACGTCGAGTTACGCGCAAAATCCCAAAAGCCAATTCTTTCAAATGGAGGTTTAGCTACATATGCGGTACTATAAGTACAATAATAAAATGATAAAGCTTTACAAACCTCAAATCGTGGGACTATGCCGGCTTCTATACACCGGTTTAGTAACTGCTAATTCCTAACGGGTCTCAAAGTCCACGCCGCCTCGGAGCCACGTGTTTACAAGCTAGCGAAACCACGTGTGAACTTAAACGACACGTCCGATGACAAGGTCAAAGAACGGTTTAGGTTCAGATCAAAAAACAACAAGGGTGGCATAGGCACCGACCAAAATAACAAAAAAAGGGGGGAATCGCGTTGTACAATATAAAAAAATAGAAGAAGGGAATCAACAACGTGATTGGTTGGATGATCGGGCGAATTGCCGGTCCACCACCTGACTGGTCGAGAATGTGGACCAACAGCCAAGTACAAGGTAGTATCCACTGAATGCCAGTTACCAATGGCGTGTCCAGAGGAGGTCTGAATATCCAAACTTGTCGTTACATACACGACGTGTTGTACATGGTCTTTGACTTGGTTTGGAGGATTAGTACACTTTGTGCATCCTTAGTGGTACTTTTGTTGAAAACACAAAAGATCAACCCAAGAACCAAGTGGGCGAGGTGCTTCTGAATTAGTTGACGGCAACTGCCTTGTATTAAGGATCAAATGTAAACCTGTGGCAGTCTGAAGCGGTCACTGGGTGAAAAGGATGGTAGCATCGATCACCGTCGATGCCGCTTATGGTTTCTAAGGCCTCTTTTCTGTCCTGAAGCGATCATTCTGGTTAGTTAGTGCACAACAAAACGGTCAAGCTAAATGCGGGCTTCACTTTTCTTAGAGCTCATCAGCGGTGCATGAAATTGACTGTACCGCATCTGAACGGTCACGCTTCAAACGAATTCCAAGGCAGTAATGAATAGAAATCACGGGGTAGCACAACCACATTTCAGGTGGAGATGATAAAATGATATTAATCATGGCACCTACTGTAAACGCCTACTGTAAACGGACCGAATCGGTGAGCAAAAAGGACGTCTCAGCTTGCGACCAAGCCTTGAATTCGAGTATGGTGAAAATCACGCTAAGCCAGGAAGGCCAGTTGAACCCGGATATTCCAAACCCCTTTGGTTGAATCGAACATCAAGACTGTTTGCAGGTTCAACACAAAAACTTAATGAGACCTGCGCCACATAAATATAAGAAGCCGATTCGAAACCACTGCGTCTAGAGCACAGAGAAACGAATGAATAGTGTCAAAGAAAGCAAGTAGCCAGGGTTCAGAGACAAAAGATAAGCAAGTGAACCATGAAAAAAGGTTGCTCTTAGGCTAAAAAACAATGGAATAGACCAGCAGAATTGAATGTGGGGCGCGCTCAGTAGCGGGAAATAGATCAGAATGGCATGCGCAGGGTCTCTAATGATACAACAGACTGAAATCCCGATTTATAGACTGCAAAAGCGTCTGAGTCTCCAGCTATGCCACATCTGGGAATCGCCCCTGGCATGGAATATCGAAGAAACAACCCCACGTACAACACACACAGACGAAGCGCGTGGTAAAATACCATTGCGCAGTAAGACGTACCTCATCTGTTACTTGGGCCGTGCTGTTCAGCGAGTTGACCCCCGAACGGGAATCCTCTTTATTCAATCGAGTCAGCTGCAACCGTAGATTGGCATTCTCCTTGGTGATCCGATCCAATTCTCGCATTAGACGATCCTTCTCCGCCTTTTCCGCTTCGTACAACCGTCTGTAGTCGGGTGTCTTAAAAGAGAAGCGGGTGGAAATGAGACAAATAGTTGAATGCGTGATGAGCAAAAATGTCGGGAACCAAAGTGTGTCCGCTTGATGGGCTGCTGGCAAAGAGTGGGGTCCGTAGCTGGTCTACGGATCAAACAAGAGCCTCACACAGCACAGTTGAGATTCTCATGTCACAAATGACTGCGGTGATGAGATTCCGTCCACCAACACCACCACCGCACGCCAAGTACGTGGAACCGTGATTGAAAACCAGTGAGCGCTCAATAGCTTTGGGTGGATACGAACAGGCGGCTGGGATAAGGCCAGGAGAAATATTGATAATGACCGAGCTAGGGGAAAAACAAATAGTTAAACTTCCTAGTGGTCACTATTGGCTCACGTCAGTCGGAAATCACAGTCCTTATACATTCCCATCGTTTGATTGAGAATCAGGTTTGTGTATGGGAGGATGTATAGCTCACACTGAGAGCAAGAGGACCTGAATGCTCACATTGAACTTGGTTTTGCCAGTAATGAAAAGGCGAGGTGCGGTTCCTGGATACTTGTAGATAACTAAGAGTGCTTGTGTGACTCTGAATGATCACTGTTGGAAGAAGACTTAAGGCTTTGAGGTAGATTTGAAAATTTCAAGCGTGTCAGCTGCAAGTTCATATGAAGACAGTCAAAGAGATGATGTAACAGCCTACAGCACATGCGGGAAGTTCACAACGCAAGATTTAGATGAAGCCACCATTCACCAAGTGGCTTCGGAAAAGTGTCGCGATCATGGCTCCCTACAGTGGAGGATGCAAGACCGCAGAAGTTGAGTATCGTTCCCTATTGGCAACGGTCTCATGTGTGGTTCACCCGAACTATCCCCAGTTAAATAATCAAAAGAGGGTTTACAAAACAGATGTACTGATTTTTGTGAAACACGAAGCACGGGGACGAAAACGATAGAATAAGATAGACTGACTGCGGCCTAGGTATCATAACTTTCTCTGGTAATGGTGTGTAGTTCAAAAGACAGATACCCTTGTAATTGACAGGTAATCCGAAATAACGTGGTGAATAGTAGCGTCGGTGGGTAAGTCTGCACAAGTCAACAACGAGGGGTTTCGAACACCTGTCCCGTGATGCAACAGCATGAAAAACGCTCTATAGGGGTACATTAGATGACGAATGCTCACCTCAGCAGAAGGCGCCAGCCGATCACGGTAGGTGGTGGTGCCACGCGAGTCACTTGTTCCTGACACACCAACGGATGAGTTAGGTGTGAAGGACGAAACCAGGCTGGTTGTCATTGACGGTGCAGCACTGGTTCTGGCGGAGTTCCATGAGAAGTTCAAGCCCTCGGACACGTGGTTTTGTTGGGGGACAGATGAATCGGTCGAATGGAGGAACCGGCTGAATGGCTGAGATTCCATTTAATAGAGAGAGGTAGGGCGATTAGGTGAGGGAATAACATGAAATTTGATAGTGAACCGAAACATCACCAACAGCCCCAAGGTCCTTTGGATGACATTAGGCATATGTACAAGTGTACTCCACCAAAACTCACAACGCCACGAAAGTGGGACTATCCGATGCACATCTGCTCTTAGTGTTTGAAATGAGAAGGTTCAGGATAGGTAGATAACATTCAAGTTATTTATACTTCTGATAACTATACTTTACTGTCAACAAGTTCATTAATCCGGTGTACAATGATGCCCTTTCAAATAATCCTGTTGTTCTGTGGTTGTCTTGGTAGACAGCCGAACGCTGCGACACACCACCAGAACAGGTGCACAAAAAGAAGTCACGACATTTAGACGGTTGGCGAGATGAAACAAATCCGATGCACGGATGAACATCTGGAACCCAAAGGCACATCGAAGGTTTCACCTTCTACTATTACGTTCTGCCCAACAAAAGTTCGGATGTCAGGCGCAAAATGACCATTAAGACACACACCTAAGAGATGACACAGCGATGGCTAGTCACAAAAGACATGTGGCAAAACAATCGGAGAAACGCACAATTCGAAGGACAAAATGGGGACAGAAGAGGAATAACAAGAAACGGGAAGGGTCAAAGTAACGACATTGGATTTCCCTGTGAGTACGGATAAAAACGGATGCCGAGTGGGCAACGTCTTGGACTATCATTTCGACGAATTGGCTACTGGTCTCTGTCCTGATAGAACGTGTTGCTTCACAAATAAAGACGTAAAAAGAATCGATGTTCCGTAGAGCGTGTTCGAAGATGGTTTAGAGAGAGATGGATTGAAATTCAACCTTAATTAGGGTGTCACTACCTACCGACATGTGTCACTCCGAGGAAAAATCAGTGGGGATGAAGCCTGCCATGACGGTAACAATAATTTCCACAGTTAGAGGTCAGTGGTCTACCGGGCGTTCGACCGTCGATCGATCATTACACCAGGTCTCGTTTGGCTGACTCCAAAACGCAAAACGGCCTTGACCGTGTGCATGGTCTCAGTGGTCCTTTCTCACGTCTACTCTGGTAGACCATGGTAGAAAATCTATTGGTTGTATTGCTCCACCCATCTTAGACAAGCCCACTTGCAACTCTCCAACTAATGGAATACACGAGTAGAGAAATACCAAGGGGGAGGTATTAAACGTCCAAACCTTACCGATCGGATCAGCGAATGCAAAAAAACAGTGAACCGGTTGGTATTGTGTAAGAATATCTAACTCACCCTGGAAACAACGGGTGAACTGGAATCAGCCGAAGTAACCGATGGGGACATAGTGCAGGATGGAGGTGCGAGTGTCTCAGAGGTGCCATATGTGGGAGAATTCAGTCCTCGGACGATGCGGCGTCGTTGGCGAAGTAAGTGTTCTACACTATCGGAGGCTTCTAGCTCAATGTGCTTGCTGTCGCTAGCGGCTGTGCTACGTAGCTGGCTGGCAGTTGAGGGATACTCATCAACAGCTGCTTGCCGAGTGATAGATGGGTTGGTGGAGGAGGACAGTGAGTTCACAGCTGAAATGAAAACAAAATCGGAAATTGTTACAGCCTCATCGATGGCTCACTTGGAGGGTATGACGATTAGATGGGACCATAACCTTAAAAAGCCCTGGGTTAACAAATATCACGCACTTTCGGAAAGCAGAGAGAGAGAGAATATGTCGTGGTCTCAAATCCACATGTCACATAAACGGTCACAAGTAACAGCTATGAATGTGTGCATAGATAACTTTTGTCCTGGTGTCTGACTTCGTTCTGCAAAACAGGGCTTGAGAAGTTTCGAACGCCCAACAACGGGAACACTCAACACACGAACCCCAATGCTCAGTTTTGACTCGATCCACCGTTTCCGAATAAACAAAACACTTTTTGTTCAGAATTACAAAACAACATGTCTGGGAGCATGTTTCACAGCGGAGCGATAACGCGTCCGGAAGCATGTTCACGTTATGGAGTCTACCGGTCTTAATAAAACGATTAACGATGACCAGTGGGTGATGGGCAGTGCGGTTATCAAGAGCTGTTTGATGTACTGATGACAAACGCGGAGAAAGAAGACTTCATTATAGTCATACCTATGCTCGCAATCGATGAATCAACTGTCAGTAAAGAGGTACGGTAGGTTGGGAGTCAGGGAGCTGTAACAGCTACCATTTATAAAAAAATAAATCGTTCAGCTGTAAAATCCTTTCAGTGCCTAACTGCCACGCCACCCAAAGGTCGCACGAGGGCTAGGGTACTGCCAGGTTGTCCAAGCCTAGACAGGGGAAGTCGAGAGGCGGAGGTCGGGTTCGAACCACGGACCTTCTGATCAGTAAATTCGCGCCCTACCGTTTAATAATATGTCGAGTTAGCCACTGTTTTCGAGATAGATAAGATGGCTTGATTGAGTAGTGATGATAAAAAGCAATAGCAGACAGACGTTTTAGCACCCCGCGGTGACCCAGATACAAACTCAAAGAACAGTAGACACATGCTGAATGCAGCATGTCGAACGAAAGTACACTCATCAGGAAGACTCTACATGAGATCAGTCGAACGACACGGTGGCAATATGCATAGGGTTTACCTACGTCCCTTAAGTAAACTCACTCCCTTTTGTAGACAGTTCCTTCATGCTTCATATATGAAGCCATACACAACGACTTAGGGAAGCGGTTACGGAGGGTCTAGATCAGGATTCAGCAATAAAGTTCTAATAAAACCTGGCGTGACCAATCAAAATATACGTTTAACGTACGATGGGTCACAAAGACACAAGGATCGTTCAGCTGTAGCACCCTTTCGGTGCCTGACGACCATGTCACCAGAAGGGAGCACGAGGGCTAGGATGCTACCAGATTGCCAAAGGAGGGTTGGGGTTCGAACTACGGACCTTCCGGTCAGTTAATTCGCGCTCTAACCACTGGGCCATCTCGCTCCACAAGGATGTTCATGTCGCAAGAGCATTTACTTCTAGTCACAGTGATTAGATTGGGAAGGAACTTGAACTTTCTCCGTCTATAATGAAGCTTCGTAACTGTTTGCCGAAGTACAGAAAAGCACAGACACTTTTGGGGAATACCAAGTTATCCAACTCAATCATTCGTTCATGATATTCTTCGAATGAATGAGCCGCAAGGAAGTGATGAGTACCATGAGCGAAATATTCAACAGAGTCTCCCATTAACATCAAAATAATTTGCAAATTGGCATACTTCACCAGTTGCGTAGTCTTTTGTTCAAGTCGAACATAAGGCTGATGGAAACTCGGGAAACCACAAGACGGACGAAACCGGTGGTGGGTTGTCGAAGAGCTTCCAGTCACCTTGTGAGCATTAAAAGTGGGTTATTTGCTGTGAAGTTTCGTTTTCAGACACGATTCAATGACCGAAATTGAAAAAAGCGTCACCGAAATTTCAAACTCGCGAAATGTACTACGATACGATTTCAAGACAGCAACTTTAAATATGCAGATAAACAAGGACCTACTGAAGTAGTGATGTTTGAAATGGGAGTTGAGTTGATCGAAAAAATCCGAAACAATCTACGAAGAAACCACTCACAACTATCGAAGATTTCCCACCACCTGAAAGACGGCAAGAAGAACAGCAACAAAAAATCGTCTGCAAATATGGGGACGTACATGTTCCGGAAGTGTCACGTGACCTGAGGCGAGATGGTGCCACACTATCTTTCAGACCAGAACGACCCTCAATTCGACGATATCGGTAGCTCTGTGTAAAAAACAAAACCAAATGGATACAACCGTTCATAGAACTAGTACAACTGACACTCATTTCGAAAGATAAAACACTAAGGTTTAAGGTTGTGAAACAGAGCGTCAGCAAACAAGTAAGTCTATAACAAAAGCGCGGACGCTCTGAGAAAAAATGGACGAATGCGTTGGGCATGACTATGTTTCGAACCGGGAGTTGTAATACAACTGGAAGGTGAAGGGGGTTCAACCGTATGCCAACTTTCTTCCAGACTACCAGTTGCCACTGCAAGGACTGCAGGTCAGTTTGTGAATAACCCATCGAACAACGGCTGTGTCCAGGGCGTCCCAATGAGCGTCAGCCAAGTTTCGTCAACGCACAGCATCAATGACGGCATGTTGTTGGCAAGACAAAGTCAGGGTTACAGGCAAGAAACTATATCCTATGAGCGAAGTTCATATAAAAAAGTGGAGATTAGTTGTCCGTGTTACTTGTATCCTGTTATACATACAAATGTACTGGCTTTGGCATGAAGAACGGGCTCAAGCGCGAGTTACTCGTCTTACCTGCAGGCTGGGAATAAGAACGAACAGGATGAATATTCACGCCTGGCCTAAACTGTCAAGGTGAGTATTACCGTTTCTGGTTAGCAGTTGCCTGACAATATGCGTTGACAGGCCGTCTCAAAGCAGGAGCTTCCAGGTTACTTACAATGACTGCAGACTACCAACTCCAGCTGAATTCCTGCCATTTAGGGTAATCAGACATTCACGATCCACTTGAGGGCAAAACAAGACTGGCGTACCAGAACGTAAAATTGGGGAGGATGGGTTACCGTACGACTTGGCAAAATCTCTTAAGAAGCCAGCATACTTGACCCAACTCACCTCCAGGGCGTCTGAGGCCCGACCAACAGAAGAATCTGGTGAAAGGGGCCTATCCAAGGTCGAGAGATAGCTCGAAGAAGTTCGGACGTCCTCACTGGCAGACGGTTGCGCTCGTGTCCGTTCAGTAACTGTGTTTGTGGACGGAAGCGGAGTTGTCGGCTGGATAGCAGCACTGTTGTTCTTGTTGTCACAGATGAGCTTCTTAGCTTCCTCCACCTCTTCCGCTGACACACCCTGAGTAGAACGTCTAGTGGACCGGACGTAACGTGCCTTCACACTCCGCTGAGTCTCGGTTTCCACCGATTTGGCCGGAGACATTAGAAGAGAAATGCTAGAATGAAAAAATGGATGGAAACAACATGTGGCAAACAAGAAAAGCAAAGATGAAGATGGATACATTGTTAGTGGCTAAAACATAACTTACCGCATTGACTCGGGGCTTTTGTTGGCAAGAAAACGACCAATCACAAATTATTAAAAATAAAAGAAATAAATCGATGCTTTTATACTACTTCCATAAAGAGGCCACTTTGAATGTGGCTAACCGAAGAGAGGAATAGACGAATATCTATTGTGTAAACTCATAAAGACAACGAAAAATGATATACATTCTGTGTATGGGCGGAGATGAGTGAGACAGCTCGTGTGAAATAGTAAACCATACATTGGATCACGTTTCAGCGCGCAAAGAGTAACTTGCGTGACCCAGTCTCGTATTTAGTGTGATCACTCAATAACTCCCTGGTAATTTCCACAGATATATAACCCCAAACAAGCAAAAAATGCGAGCGAAGCACGCTGTCTCACAAGTGAGTGCACTGGATATATTGTCAAAATCAAAACCGTTTCTGGACGCGCGATCGAGTGTAGATGACAAACGGAAATTCAAAACCAGTTGGTGGTTGAAACTGGTTGAAGTTGGTTCGTTTGTTAGAGTGGGAACTATTGCCGAAACACCAGTTGGTCCGACCAATCACTTGCGAGCTCAGACGATTAGACACTACAGCGTTCAACTGGTTTAGCTACCAACTTCCGGCCAACATGGCCACAGTCATCATTCAATCACTATGGAATTATGTACTTTGAACCTGAACGTTGGATCAGGTTGCCGGTTTGATCTTTGTGGCGAACCCCTGGCGGAGTGAGAAACATTCGTTTTGGCTTCAGGAATCTCACTAGATAAGCGTGCGATTTACGATGGACAAGGCGACGATACTGAGGACGCCGTAACTGTGGTCTGTGGATCATACAGTGCCCTAGCTATTAGTCACTATTAGTCAGGTGCTCCCGAATTCACGTGGACTAAACAACCCCACAAATGAATTATCCAAAAGCCCTGGTCTCATATGCAGTGATGTATCCGAAAATTCGCCAAGGCGATAAGTGCATCGTCAAAGAAGCCTAAACATTGGGAGCACGATTTAGCTACGGACATACATGTGTTAAACCAGTCTCGGCGATTAAGCCTCGCGGTCGCTATCTTGGCCACAATATATAGCACAAAAGGTCAGACAGCGTACGATCTGCAACACTTTACACACGAAACAACGGTGTGCGCAAGGTTCCTAGAACTGTTCGTTGATCAGTTTTCGGAACAATACTGCGTGAATCACTGCATCTCGATCTTCCCGACAAGCGCGAACCAACTGCGAAATCAGTTGAGGTGGTATCATCTAATTCCTGAATGCCATCGAAAAAAGGACGCACGTGTAGTCAAAGGGAACCATTTTTTGCCATCTTTGATGACCATACACTCGATCTCCCCTCAGTGGGACTCAGTCAGAGAGGGGTCACCTCGCTGGAGAGACCACACAATCCATGATTCGGTGGCATATCACCAATTCTTAGAGAAAGAGAACCCATCCCCTACCCATCGGTGCTCTCCATACGGAAGACGGGGGGGCGGGGTTAGTATCGTACTACAGATTTGTATTTATTAAAAAGCGGCCCTAAAAATTTAAAAAACAAACAAAATAAACTGCGAGCATTTGAAGGTTACTTACAGGTCTCCCATAAACCTAACGCGACTATTAGAGAGCGAGAAAGGAAGGAAGTCACAAACCACATTTGTCGGCTAAACTACCAGGTTTTATAAAAAAAAATACACCCGTGGTCGCTCGGAGGTGAACCACGAGGAAGACAATTAGAGTTCTTTTCCCGAAACCGTTTGACTGCAAAAGCTGCGCCAAAGTATGGAGGCTTAAAAAGGTATTTTTAGTCATGGACGAAGCGATATCATAATTTTTCTGACGGTTACCGCTCATTCCTGGCGCGAGCACCACTCTTACCGATCGAAAATAATTGAGCCTTGTACACTGCTTGAAGTGTATTTATTCTTGAGCTGAGATGCGTTATAGAGAGCAGTGTAAACGGTTATTCGCAAAGCGCGTGGAGAAACCTGATTGCGAATCGTTGTGTGAAAATACTGTTGAGCAATTAGATGAACCTTGAGGTTTGAGTAAGCGCATTTTGAAATGAAACGTTTATAACTCAGCCATCTGGTTTTCCATGGTAGTCACACAGATTTCTGAGCGTCGATCTTTAACACACACAATTAGGCGTTTAATCATGCTAACATAGGTTATATCCCAAGCCAACATGCTTTCGGAAAACCAGATATTTTGTCGGAAACTGGTGTATCGGACCAGTCGGATAGTCAACACTTTACACCATCATCATCATCATCATCGACAGCATGACATCAGTGTTCAACACCGATGCTTCACCGCAAAGCATTTTCTCCGGAGGTTCCAGAGATTTCGGTCTTCCAAGGATAAGATTTGGACTCGGTGAAGGTGATCTCATTTTCGTGTAGAACTGAGGAAAAAAGTATGCTTGCTGTTGTACTTCCTTGCTTCAAACGAGTAGACCCAACATACTCACGTTGGATTGCTGGTTATCTTACTTATTTAACACTGTTCCCCTATTAAAATCTAACCGTCCTGACACCAGCCATTATCCTTGAGGAATATCGTTTGAAGATGTTCAAAAATAATGCATGTCCGTCCTCAATCAGTTTAGCTTCAAAGCCGTTGTGGTTAGCACAGTCCAAAATCTAGGTAAGCAGAGGCCCTTACTTTTCCACAGATGGTATAAAAACCAGAATGACACATGTAATACAAATAACGATAAGAATAGTAACAATAATGACAGTTCGGATATGACACCTGTTCGGTGCATAGCTGTCGTGCAATGGAAAGAATGGACGAGGGACGAGTCTAGACAGTAACGGTTCGAATCATGGACATTTTAGTCAGTAGTTTTGAGCCTTAACCGCTGAACTAACCAAGTTAAAAGTGTTTCGCTAGAGAACAACGATGAAGTGGTGTGCAAACGACGGGCGGCCTTCCAGTTGCTCAGTTATTAGGACACTTGCCTGGTAAAGGACGAGTCACTAGTCTGAGTCCCCAAGGCGGAATCCCTTGACTAACCGGGGGAGGTGATTTTGAAATTCTTGAGTGGATAGGTTGAGGTGAGTCACTGGATAAAGTCCAGACTTTTAAACGGGTGAACACACTGAGACTACTGTCTAACACGTTCAGTGAAACAGTGGTTGTAAAAATCGTCGCTGAAAGTTCTTAAACAACAGGAGAGGCCGAAGATAACGAGGGATTAGACAAGAACACAAGGCGATTTTAGTGCACAACTCACCGCCGTCCACTCGTGACATCATCCTTCAACTTGGGCGATGGTGAACGTGAAATAGGCGCTGGCTTAACTTCTTCGACTTGCCGAGAATCACTAACAGCGGCAGCCCCAGGTTGCTGTAGAAGGAAAGAAAAAATTCAGTTCAAATCGATGGGCGTTGTTTCTAAAAATGAGGAAATCAACCTAGACAAAGAGCAGCGTATGTTGATCCCAGTCTACACTACTAAGAGTCCCCATTCCTGTGTGTTACTGTAGAAGTATGAGTTACGTCACTGGTGGAAATAAAACCCCGATTTCTGGACGGAATCTGATGTCAACCTGGAAATTCAGTCAGCTGACCAATGGAGTTTGACCCCGAAATTCTACGAAATAATCTACCACTTCATGCAACTGAGACGGGGTTGACTATGTAGCGGTCATTTCCTTGTTCCCTCAACCAACTTCACACAATTTGTCTAGTACATCCGTACCCATTAGATCACGCGACTCCTTTGTTTCGCAAACGCACAAAGTGACAAAACCGATTTCTGGACGGAATCTGATGTCAACCTGGAAATTCAGTCAGCTGACCAATGGAGTTTGACCCCGAAATTCTACGAAATAATCTACCACTTCATGCAACTGAGACGGGGTTGACTATGTAGCGGTCATTTCCTTGTTCCCTCAACCAACTTCACACAATTTGTCTAGTACATCCGTACCCATTAGATCACGCGACTCCTTTGTTTCGCAAACGCACAAATCACGTGACAAAACCCCCATCCCACTTGCAATCCAAACCAACAAGTCCGTTCCCGCTTTGTACCCGTCGGAACGATGGTATGTATCATACACACATTATATACACGTCTCCCTATATTGAGGAAGACACAACACAGTCACCACACACATACTAGGGTGCCCAGGGGGCAGGGAGTCAACCAAACTCTTCAACTCCACGAACAATTACGGAACGCACGTAGCGTCTATACTGAAGAGAATACACGTTCTCGCAGTCCGAACTTCCTTCCAGAAACTCTCACGAGTTATCCACCTTTTGACTCATTCCATTGTTCGCACTGTATTTATTTTATCATGGTGCAACTCGTAACTGTAAAATAATATCTCCCATAGTAAAAACTGTCGTTAGTGCATATATCTTCTGAGTTATATTATCGCTATCATAACCAATGCATTAATAATTGGTGAGCCCGAAGTGACAGTTGGTCGCTTCCATTAAGTTTACCTGTATTTCATTCACTCTATGGTACATCATCATCATCGACAGCATGACATCAGTGTTCAACACCGATGCTTCACTGCCGTACAACCATGACTTATTTGAAAGCCTTATTGTAAAGAAAAGAATAAAGGTGGATGGGGGGGGACTTAATGCTAGCTTAACACAATCATTCCGAGGTGCCTACATCTCCAGACATTCACTCAGGTAATCTGGACAGAAACTGACAACAAGAAAGCCACTGACATCGGTTGGCAGCCATATATTGTAGTGTCTCCAACCAGGCAAAGTGAGGATCACGCGGTCCCCATCCTGGAAGGCCAGTAGCACCGACAGCACCCAAGCGTTTCGTTATCTCCTTCATACTCCTCTGTCAAGTCAAGGGTTGGCCACCTCTCTGTTTACGCCACTCCGAATTGG